GATACCGTGTGCTTTATTGTAACTGGAGATAATCTGCAACCAGAAAAAGAAGTTAAGCAAACAGATAAATTAGTATTTTCGTCCACTAGCCTCCGTTAGCGCGCATCGATGATCGAATTGTGGTGCTGTAGGAGGTCCATACCAATGATTGGCATAGAAACATCTGCAACAACAAAGATCCAGTGAATGGGTTTGCGTAAACCCACGTTAAGATAAGCGTACTTTTTGCCATACGTAGCGATAGGCTTTCCATTTGCCGCCTGTAGATTTAAAACCGATTCGTGAAGCCAGTCGTTGGAATTCGCTGGGAGAACGCTAACTTCTTCACCAGTATCGACGAGGTAGCGAACTCTCGTTCTCACATCAGTGACATATAAAAGACGGCTATGTTCTCCGGCTACGGTTGCCGTTAACGCGTGCCGGCTTGGAAGTTTCCCGAATCGTTTTTCGTGTCGATCGATTTCGAGTTGGGAAAATTGCAGGGTTTTCTGCAATTTCTGGCGGACTTTCCATACTGGTTATGATACCAGCAGCAGTCAGGGTTATCAGTCACTAGAGATCTAGAGACAGATCGCCTGCGTGAAGTGCTTCTTCGTGGGATGTGTGAACGTTTACGATCGTTACGAAATTTAAGATGACGTGTAAGTGCATGACACAACTCTGAAATGTCATTCTGGGTCGTTTGAGGCTTTTATTTGACTGAAAAAACCTCGGCATTAGAAGATTTTGTGATCTCAAGAATACGGTCGGTAGACGCAGCCAGCTCATCTACGGCGTTGTTTCGAAACGAGATCAGCACAGCTTGCACCTGTTGAGGAAGTTTGGATAAGAAGTGTTGTTTGGACAGGCCATCATCGAAGGTGATTTGGCCGTTAACCTCTCTCATTCTTTGCAACATGTCTGTGGCATGCATGACCGAGAGCCTTCAGCTAGATGAGTCCATTAAAACTAATGTGTTCAGCAACCAATGTCGAAAACTCACAGAGCTATTTATTTTGGGGGTTTATTTCTCGCTACAACACAAAATTTTGGGATTTTTTTTTGCCATTTTCACAAAACGTCAAATTTTCCTTAAAAATTGATATTGAGACTGTTTACAGCTTATCCTCATTTGTAGTCGTAATATTTAGACGTTAACCATAAATTTGTTTTAAATGAAATACTCAGATTATCTTCTTGACCTAATATTATCGGCAAGTAATAAGATATTTTCTGATGAATTTTAATGACTATAGTATATCCTCAGTGTATTGAGCGCCTAATTTCCTGCGCGTACGATTTTAAAGCAAAGTCAGATAATGACTCCAGACTGCCATGTTATATCACGTCGTCAGCAATGTGCTTTAAATTATGCACATTATAGACTAAATGCTCTCTACAGTAACAGCATTCGTAACTAAATAAGTTGTTCAGATTAACACGAACACTGTTTTGGAATGTGGTAACTTCGAGGGCGATAATAAATATACTGAGAAAGGCATTGGAATTTTCCGTACATTGGTAATGGTGAACTATCGTGAAGGACTAGAGGACCTAAGTACACTAGAAACAACTGGTAATCAGATGCTGCCCATACGGAAACTTCATGTAATGAACGACATTTACTTTGAAAGTCGCACGTAGTGTGGTTTCTGAATAAGCCCAGTACTACACTGATGGATGAGAAAATAAATTGATCCATCCGACTAGATCGCTTAACAGCGAAAAGCTTTCACAAGGAAACCAGTTTTTTCGTGATACGTAAGTATATTATGTGCATTAGTTCTGACGGTAGATTTTCGAATGAACTTCTGCCACGATGATGGATTGGAACCTACTACGAAAAGTGGCATCGCTTCTCAAGTCGTGTTCATCATCGGGAAATATCATTCGACCTCCCAGTAGTCTCCCTAGAACCTGACATTTGTCACAGCCAGCGGTACCATTGTGTCCAATAACATACCTGACGTAGCTACAAGCTGGAGTGTCACAAATAACAGCGACCATTTTAACTGTCAAATGTACCGTACACTTATCTACTTGTTGTTTGGACAGGCCGTCATGGAAAGTGATTTGGCCGATAACCTCTCTCAATCCATGCAATATTTCTGTGGCAGAGCCGTGTTGCAGGTCGATGTTGTTAAGGAGTCGGTCTAACTTTGTCGATCGGTTAGATCTCCGCGTTTGAGGATAGATCATTTAAGTGTTTCTTAGGGTTCTGAAACATCGCTAGTAAACATACTAAGTGTTACGTGCCTGTTTAATTCGCGCGGCGGTGCCTTGACTACTGCGAGGAATCGTGCACGTGTGTCGTTCAAGCCGTGCTCGTAGAAGTCGGCTTCTGCGTCGCAGAACCAGGCTTCGATATTGTCTGGTAAGAAGGGCATTAGTTGGAGCGAAGTTGGGGATATAGTCTTAAACTTAATTACCTTGGGTGTCTGTCCAGTCATGGTGAAATATCAATTACAAGAATGAACGAGTGAGAAATATATGTATCCAAAACACGGAAAAAAGTACCACGATATATATATGAAATTAAAATAAGGCAATGATATATAAAATCCCAAAGAGGAACAGACTCACAATTTGCAATTCGGTGTACCGGATCACGTCGAGCTCACCAGTGAATATGCCACAGGTATTCGGAGTTTGTCAACGCTTTAACAAGTAACACCTTCTAATATTAATCGTACCCACAAAGTGAAATCAAAAAGACAGAATCGAGGAGGTTCGAAGATATATTTGATAGGCTATCAATATATCGAGGATCGTCTGATCTAATCTGGCTAGAGATTGCAGTAGATGTTGGGCACGGCGTTCCCACACGTGATCTGGTGCGGATGCATGATGAGTCCATTAAAACTAATGTGGTCAGTATTCAGTGTCGAAAACTTACAGAGCTATTTATTTTGGAGATGTATTTACCGCTACACTGTGAAATAACGATAAATCATGACAGGTGGTGTATTACTGGCGACATGTTTGAATAAGTTACTGATGCTATAACAGTGGTAGTAAATCTGGAGTTCGTGCAGCTGAAAAGTTTTCCCCCTTTCGCAATCGTTTAATGAATGTTACGTAGTAGTGTTCAATTCCTGACGTCAATTCCTTAAAACTGGTAGTTCGCTTGAATCAACTGTTTGCGGGTTAATTGGGGTGGGGTGAGGCGCGTATTTTGACTCCTACCGCGGTAAATCGAGAATGGTGTTTGGTTTTAAGTGTTTTGGTCGTTGAATTGTATAAAACTAATAATTTTAATTGAGCTGTTACAGTTAATCCGAAGCTTGATATCAATCACTGTCGCAACATATTTGCTCTCGGTCTTTTTTCAAGATTCTCAATCATTTCAATATATAATAGCATAACCCCAGCCTAGACGTTAACTTATTGATCATTGAACCTTTTTCTCTAGTAGAAATTATTTGTTTAAGATGAGAAGCATTCAAAAACCTGGATCGCGCTCACAGCTGCTGCTCTAATATTGATGTCCATCTTGTGTATGCTAATTTTTCTGTCGGGCTGTATTAGCAAAGCCAATTGCTCCTTTAGCTCTTGCATTGTCAGACAGGTCGTCTAAAAATTAATAAAACTAGAGGTATCAACTCAGCTACAGAAGACGAAGTTATGCTTCTGACTTTTCCCTTAGTCAACAATCATCTACAGTGATCATGCCTTCCCACCATAAATGTAGGGTGTTAGAAAAGGTCGACCATTAAAACGGTGGTCGTTTCTTGCATTAGACCTTAACAACTGGTTATTCCTAGGAAGCACAAACTTGGAATATTGACAGTATTCACCTCAAAGACTCCCAACGTCAGAACGATAAATACAAATCAACAAGCTTTTCATCAACTGTCTTCGGAGAGGCTTTATCACAAACTGTCACTCACGGAATCTTTGTTTAGACGTCAATCATTCTTTAGTGAAAGCATTCATTCTCATGATATTTTGGTGTAAAAATCACAAGAGGTAAATCATTGGGATACATGGAAATGACAGCTGGAAATCCATACGAAGAAAAATTAGCTATTTTAAGCCAATCACGGAAAAATTGTTCATTCTGAAGAAGGTTGGTATTATATCCCGCCAGTTTTATATATTATAGTGTCTGCCTCCAGTCTTAATCAGATTACGAAAGACCAGTAGATTATGGAAATCCAAAACAAATTGTTGATTGCTCGGAAACTCATTTCTTCAGGCTCGAGGAACCATGAAGAGAGACCACAACTTAAGCCTAGACTAAAATAAAGTACATGCATTAGCCGTGACCGTTAATGGACAATAAAAGCAAAAATGAGACAGCGGGTATGAGTAACTAAACAGCCATCCTAACACACAAACAGGTCTTGTTAAACCAGTCACCAGTAAAATTATTCCGGAAATACAGAACTATGTACACTCAGCGCAGGTGAGTAGTGCTAAGTGACTGAGATGTATGTAATATTAACTGTAGTAAGAATACGTTGGAAGAAAGCTTAAGGTGACCAAACCAAGACATTGCATTTGTTTATGAAGTCATTGGTAGCTGGTCTAATCTAAACTGATAGGTGTGAACTACTTGGTTGAGGTTAGCGTTATAAACACATTCAATGGTTCAGGTTGTTGGGTAATGTGATTCAGAATCAATTGAGATGGTGTGGATGCACTTATTTTTCCTCTAGATCTTAAGTTTCAGTAGTTCTCCATATATACTCTTCCACTCCTTTGGGAACCAAATTCCTAATGTTTAGTCTTTCTCACTACCAGTGTCATTACAGTTATTCTTATTCGTTTGCTATTCGATTCGTCAATCTTACATACCGATTTGAAATGGGTAACTTAGCTAATCTCCATGTGCCATACTCTACGATAATCATAACTGACTTAAGATGTGAACGTAAGTCAATGAATAGTCTTACTCAGGCTCTGGGATATACTTATTTCCTTCGTTTTTTTATGCATATTAGATCGGAATTTCGACCATACGATCAATTACCTTAGTTACTGACAATAAATAGCAATCTATCAACTGGCTACTTGTTATGATTGGTAAAGTCGAAAATCTTGCCGCAAATAAGCTTCTGCATGGATTCAGGTTAAAGAGAGTAAGTTTTTTATTGTAATAAATATCCTTTTAGTCCTTTGAAGTGGCAGAGTTTCGATTACTAGTTGCTGAGCTAGAACATCAGAAGTCGGGTGCAAAATACTTGCACTTGGCACGAGATGATCCCAGCAAAACATTCAGGTTGGGTCAGATGTTCTTTAGTCTATTCTAGGTCAGTGTTCAACTTAGGACTGTTCCTCACGACGATTCTGGTGTTCCTCATGTTTTAGAACATACTGTTCTTTGCGGGTCCCAAAAGTATCCTTGCCGTGATCCGTTCATGAAGATGGCCCAGAGAAGTCAAGCTACATTCATGAATGCACTTACTGGTAAATTATATGCATATGGCGACTCATTTTTTCCAGCCAGCGATTGGACTATGTACCCTTTCAGCACAATGAATGATACTGATTTCCAGAATCTTTTAAAAGTCTATCTAGATGCTGTTTTCCGACCTAAAATCGAAGAGCTTGATTTTATGTAGGTTTGGTTGACTTTTAATTATGATTTTCAGGCAAGAAGGATGGCGTTTAGAACCAGAAAACCTTAAAGATATGACATCGAATCTGGTTTTGAAGGGCGTAGTCTTCAATGAAATGAAGGGTGTATTTGTAAGTTTCTCAAATTTTCCTTCTGTCCGTATACAGCAGTTTCAAAAGACCTGTCAACTCTTTATGTTAACGTCTGAACTCACTACGCATTATTAACTTCATGTGATACTTGAATTTTATTCTTTTTTTCAATCAGATGTTAATCCAGCTCATTTACAGATGCTTGGGTATTATATTTTAAGTCATTCTTTGTAAATATAGTACTATTTAGCTTCTTAAACGTTAGTTGGGAAAATAGGGCTTGAACCAGCATCTTGTTGACCATAGCCCAACTTTTTAACAAATTCATTGATTCGAACTAGTTTTAGTTACATCAATTCACTTTGTTAACTTAGTTGTCAAAATCTCTCCCGAAACATAAATTCCATATAGACTTTATACATCTGTTTATCGCACGTAGTTTGAGATTACTAATAAAAAACTAACCAATTCGCCGAAAAATGTGTTTGTACACTTATTATTTTCAATGTCCATTTCTTTTTCATACTACGCCTCATCTATTTTAAGTCACATTAATGCTTGTGATGAGTAACATTTGAAGTTGTCATGTTTACCTTCTCCGCTTCGCTTCTCATTATGCTGCCTGTCTGAGCAAACGAGTGCCTGAAATAAATTCGTCCAACTTAATTCATATTTGGCTCACCATTACCACCGTCGCGCAAACAGGGTTAACCTAGATGGAATATACAAAATCAAACGAAAGATTTATGTTCATAGCTCATTCATCGTTCGTTAGTTACAGCGTCATATTTCGAACAATAAACCCTTGTTTCACCGAGTTCACAAATTAAGTTTACAAATTCGACTCATTTCCCCGTTTTTGTCTTCAGTTGCATAACGAATGTAATTCCTTTTCAGTCTAACTCACTGAATCGTTTTGCTCAAACTATCAAAAACAAGTTGTTTCCGCAAACTTACGGTTTTGTTAGTGCAGGGAGTCCAGAACGTATTCCAACACTAACCTACGAGTATCTGAAGGAGTTTCACAATAAGTATTACCATCCGAGCAACTCATGGTAAGTGTTCAGTAAGCAGTGTAGTTCAGTGTCAGTATTTTTTCTTGCGGGGGGGGGTTCGGTTTGCGTGCTGTTACTATTTTGCTTAACATTTTCACTGGTTGATATTAAAATAAAAAAAATTGAGAAATGATTTAAGGTATCAAATTTATAGTTAGCTCATTACTATTCAGGTTTTTATAGCAGTTAAATCAGCATTCAAATTTTGTTCAAAGTAGTGCCACTCACTTTTATTAGCTGCAGTATCATTTTTGAGTTAGTGTATCGCGCCCAGCAAGTCATTGTAATTCCTATCTACTCACCGACGGATTGCAGTCTAGACTTAACTGAAGATAAGTTTTACGACCAATTAAGTCACACCAATAATGCGTGTTTGACATATTGTGCTGCTATCTGTGTTCTTGAATGCTGAAATCGAGCTTCTAGGCACAGAGTTGTGTCGTTTGGGTGGCTAATAAAGACTTAATAATCTCAGGTTGGATAAAGCGATTGACTCACGCTGTTCTTTGCAATCCACAACCTGTTTATGTTCGGCCTAGTTCCCCGCACAATTCTTTCCAGTATCCCAGCCTGGGTCATTCCTGAGGTCAGATTGATCACGTTGCGACTAGCCACCTCTGGTATGGCTGTTTACGAGACTGTCGCTACTTTCGGAGTATGTATCTTGATTCTGATGAACTGTCTACTTATGGAAAATATTCTTTTCGCTCCGATTAATAATCAAATGACTCGCTTTATTATTATTATTATTATTATTATTATTATTATTATTATTATTATTATTATTATTATTTACCACGTCATTTATTCACCCTCTTTTATTCCCACTCTGTCTATCCTTATTTTTCGACTTATACGGCAGCTCGCCTATTGTGGACATTCGGCTCTATCTAAACGTTCTCGTGTCACTGCCTGGTTGAAAATTGTATGCTACCACCAAATACGAGTACTGAAGCAGTTTTTCTGAAACCACGTGCACCATTCAAACTGCCTGCCTTTAACGTTCGCACACTTATGCAGGTCGGACAACAGATAGGGCTGGCTATGTCTTTGGAAAGTCCTAATATTGACGTTTGTTGTCTATCCGAGACCCGTATCCAAGACTCTGGTGAAGTACTACAAATTCGCTCTCCATCTGTCACTTCAAAAAGATTGTTTTACGTGCGTTTATCCGGGGACCCTGTGGCATCTTCGACTGGTCTTGCTGGCGTTGGTGTCGCACTAAGCGCTAGAGCTGAGGCAGCACCAATCGATTGGATCCCTATTAACAGTCGGTTATGTGCTGTTAGATTAGAAAGTACCATCAAAGTGAGAAGAAATCGGCGTGAGAAACTATGTCTTTTGGTCATCTCCGTCTATGCTCCGACAGATTGCAGCCCGGATGCAATCAAGAATGAATTCTACCACCAGTTAACTGTTCTTCTCCAGAAAGTGCGGTCGACAGATATTGTAGTACTAGCCGGAGACTTGAATGCTCAGGTCGGGCGTCTAGACACGGAAGAGAGTCGTTTAGGTGGCCGATGGGGACTTGTTGGTCGCAGGACAGATAACGAAGACTGTCTACTGCAGTTGTGCACAGACCACAACTTGTTTCTGGCTAGCACTAACTTTCGGCACAGTCATCGCCGATGTGCCACCTGGGTCCTCCCTCTGCATCTCAATCCTGGACTCAGATTGATCACATCGCGATCAGCTACCACTGGCGTGGTTGTGTACAAGACTGCCGCTCCTTTTGGAGTACCTATCTGGACTCTAATCATGCCCTGGTCTGCGCCAATCTTACCTTACTTTTCAGTGGACAACGAAGTGACCGCCACCAATGGATTGATGTCAGCGAGTTGATTGCAACTTCTGTTGCTAGTAAGTATCGAACCGAGCTAGCTTCTAGGCTAGCTACCATTCCACCGAAAAGTATAGATGAGCATTGGTTGCAATTGCATGACGCCATGAAAATGGCGGGTCAAGTCTTGTGGGTTCGCGAAACGTCCCGCTTATAAGCACTGGGTTTCTTCTGGTTCCTTACAACTCATTGAAGCCCGTCGGTCTACTCCGGGCGACCGTGAGTTTGACCACAGACGAAGAATGTTGCGTAACGAAATCGAGCAAAGCTTGCGTAAGGACCGAGAAGCCTGGTGGTCGGAGCGTGCTAATGAGCTGGAAGCAGCAGCTGCATCTGGTAATTACTGGAAGCTCTTCCAACTCATCCGAGCCACTGGCAGCAAGAAGTCTGGTGTGAGCGAAACAATCTGCGAGGATGACGGGATGCCAATCATTAGCATCCATCGACGTCTTGGACGATGGGCAGAATTCTTTGAAGGGCAGTTCAACTGGCCTGCTGCTCCGGCAACATCGGTCAGACTGTCTTACCCTCCATGGCCGGTGACGACTGATCCACCAAATGAGGCGGAAGTCCGCAAGGAACTCCAACTCTTGAAACGTTACAAATCACCGGGCCCAGACGACTTACCTCGGCTCTTTTTAAAGATGGTGGTGACTTTCTGACTAAGGGACTGACGACGTTGTTTACAAAGGTCTGGGGACTAGAGAGTGTACCAATGTCATGGAATGAGTCGATAGTTGTCCCTATCTTTAAAAAGGGTTCACCCTTAACCAGTTGGCAATTAGTGTCCGTAGATATAGTGTGTGCTTTACACCATCGAAGCGCAAAGTACTTTTACAAGACTGGCAAGACCTTAATCCAGCACTCACCCTGGGTAGTAAGCAGATAGAAGTAGTTGAGAAGTTCTTGTATCTGGGTAGCTGCACAAGTGCTGGTGGTGGCGTGAGTGATGAGATCAACGCACGTATAGTGAAAGCCAGAGTGGCTTATGCCAATCTGGGCCATGTTTGGCGCCTTCGTGATGTTAGTCTGGTTGTACAAGGTCGAATCTACAACGCGTCGGTGAGAGCAGTTTTGCTCTATGCTTGTGAAACCTGGCCTCTCCGAGTTGAGGATGTTAGACGACTCCCTGTGTTTGATCATCGTTGTCTCCGAACGATCATTGACATCCAATGGCAACTTCATGTTAGTAATGCAGAGGTTCGGCATCGTGTGTTCGGTGTCACCATCTTGAAACACCGACTTCAGTGGCTTGAGTATGTTCTACGAATGTCGTTCCAGAGAATTCCTCGTCGTGCATTATTTGCCGACTCTGGGACTGGTTGGAAAAAGCGGAGAGGTGGTCAGTGTATGACATGGTGTCGTGGTATAGAATAAAGCTGAAAAGGGCTGGCTTGTGTTGGTCCTTCACGACTCCCTGACTGGGTTCCGAGAGATGGTGCAACACAGTGGCCATAAACGTTATCAGATATGGCTCAGAATAGAAGCCAGTGGTGATCCTGCTGTAACCTTCCTTTACTTTCTTCGTAAAAAGCTGTTGCTTCTTCCTTAACTGTAAGATTTCCTCTGATTGTACCTTTTCGTTTCCCTCATTATTACTACTATTACACTACCTTACACTAATCTGGTCGTTATTGTTCTCTCTTTTTTTTTCTTATTTTATAATTCCCTACGCTCTTAGCCTTTTTTTCCCTTCTCTTTAAATTCTCATTATTTTGTGTGGTGCATATATATTTGGTGCCCCCTTGTACCAATATCTATGTGTTCAAATATATAAATCTAGATTCTGATCACACCCTGATTTGCTCTAATATTATCTTGCACTCCTATTGTCAACAAACCAATCGTTGTAATAGAATCGATGCAAGCAAATCGACTGCAACTTGTGTTTCATCCAAGTATCCGTGTCAGGCTCAAGTCTAGCTACCACCAGCCAACCGAAAAGTGCAGATGGAGACTGGCTGCATTTGCTTGATAATGGCAAGTAAGGCCACTTGCGCCTATGCGAAACGTCTTGCTTATAATCACAGTGTTTCTATAAACTCCATACGACCCCTATAGCACATCGATCTACTCTAGTGGATCGCGAGCTTAATATTATATGTAGACCTGTAACTCGAAGAATTTCTTAAAGCACGCCTGAGAACCAAGTAACTTGGTGATCAATGCACGTTAATGAGTTGAAAGCACCAACTGCACCTAGTAACTCCCGGGTCACTAGCAGAAAAATGTCCTGTGTCAGTGAAACATTGTATGAGGTCGATGATACGCCAATCAGTCATAACCTTCAAAAACAAGTTCCCATCCAGGTCGGAGATGTAATGATCATGTAATCAATTTTCGTTGAATGCTACAGCATCACACTTACTAAAGGACAGTAGTCGTATTTCATGACATCAGGAAACCCTTCAAGCCATAGTCCTGGCTTGGATGTGTCGGTAGAACAAAGTTGTACCTAAAATTTCTTTTCACATATTAAAGAGCTCTACTTCGGGAATCCCTGTCGTCCCAGACCCCTATATAGCTAAAAAGCTCAAGAAAGGCCGTTGACTGAAATCTATCTAAGAAGTGTCTTTTGCTTTGGAAATTAGTGTTAAGTTTACACCAAGAAAAGTTGTTGAGTCTCTAGATACTCGAAAGATGAATCGCGTTGGCTTTCTACTTTGGCTGGATCAGATAAAGTGAACATTCTCTTCTCGATCTTGTACGTGGGTTTTGAAGACACTGTATATACCAGAAGCACGAGTTTCTAGCTCCTTGTTTTATGAAGCCTGTTATTCTTTTTTATGCAGTTTGGGAGTTGAGAGTTTATTTATGGATAGTTTTTGCTGTGTAGGTCCTTAGTTCTCAGGTCTTATAACTTACACCGAAAATTCATGGAGAGTAGATGACATGTGCTATTTGTAGGTTAAATGTATTTTGACCTCACTTTATGATCATCAACTTAGGACCTGACGCAAACGAATTAAACCTCAAGGAACAAACTTTCCAACCGATATAATTCAATTAGATCCCCATGATCTGCATGCTCGACCATGGAGTTTATCCGGTGGATTAAGTACTATATAACAGTAAATTAATTCTGTTAATACTTCCGCTTATCTTCTTCTGTGTAATAATTGTCAATTCAGGAGCTCACTGGTTTTGATATTCCTTGCCTAATAAGTGTCCATTATCAGGGCTGAAGTGCATGAATAGTGGAATTACTGACTATATAAACCCTCAAACAGCTTTAATGTTTAGAAAATAACCATTTACTCTAATTATACGTCCATGCTTTTAATTTGATTATGCAATAGTTAGTACATAAGTATTTGTTTATTTGCTGAATCGGAGTAGGTTCATATTATTTGTGTTAAAGATCCCCACCTAGCAAATCATGTGTTAATTATATTTGATTTTACCTTTTACATTTGTACAAGCAGTAAAAAGTCAAATTGCAGTACTACTGTGATTGTGAATATGTTGTACTCATCAAAACAACTGTTGTCACCTTAGCACGCTTCATAATCTTTACTGTTAGTCACGACATATGCATTTTGATGATCGAACTAGTACTTAATGGCCCGATTGGTTATTATTTATTATTTATTTATTTGAACACATAAATATTGGTACATGGGGGCACCAGATATATATGCACCACACAAAACAATGAGAATTGGAAGAGAAAAGGTAAGGTGCGTATAAGAAAAAAAAGATGAACAATAACGACCACAGATTAGTGTACTTATTGGTTTGGTTATTCTTCACACGATAAGCATATTCGTCATTATCACTCTAGTTCTCTCATTTGGAGTCCCGTATTCGTTAGTCTCTTGAAGTGTTTCCCGGAAGAATGACCAAAACTAATTTCATTACTTCACACGTGATTTTTTCTACTTTCAGCTTCTATACTTATGGCAATGTAAACCTGGAATATTGTCTTGAGTATCTTGATTCAGAGTATCTTCAACATTACGATTTTTCAGTTCAAGACAACTCAGTACCATTAGAATGTATATGGGATGAACCCGTAAGTTTCTTCACTTTTTGGTCTCGTTTACTGGTCTGTTGTAAACTTTCATGTTGACGAATCTGATTTAAAATGCTAAGCTTTTGAAAATATTGTGATATGAAATATAAAAGTGTTATGAAGGAGGTTTTTTCTGATGTGATTTTACAAAATCTTCACTTGTCAAAACCAATGAATAGAATGCTAATCGATGGATAGACGCAATGATATGTTGTGAAGGAGTGATGGCTTCTCACGAGACCGTGCAATTGACTTAGGCACCCGAATAATTAAAAGACAAGACCACAAACCAAATGAATAGATCTTCATATAATGGACACAGAATAAGCATAATAAAATGCCATCGGTGATAATAGGAAATTAGCTTTTAAATCATTTATTTATTTATTTTATTTTAACACATAAGTATAGGTACAGGGAGGCACCAAATACATATGCGCCACACAAATCTCAATTGATTGTGTGAGGGCTGTGATACTGCCCGGGTGCCCAAACCGAAGCAGGTGGTTTTCTTAGGGGGCCACACCCCGAGCCTTTGACCTGAACGTCTGACCCACAAGGCAGTGGAGCATCGTGAGGAGATGCAGTCCCATGGTAGCCGGTGACCAACGATTGGTTCATACGCCATTTGTTCCCGCAGGATACTGGAGCTTTTAAATCACTCATCCTCCAATCGATTATGACCAACCTGTTAGGTCTAACCTTTTGACATCGTATCAATAAGACTATGTTTATTCAAAATATTTTAATTTTATTTCTTTTGAAAATTAGTCGCTTTCTTTAGTTGGAACGTATATGGACAACATTCATACTGTAAATTATGCCTTAATACTACAAAGATTGAAAAAAATTGTGCTTAATTTCCCCCAAACCCTCTCATATCATGGCTGCATTATATCCTCTCATAAGATAGTTATGCTCACTGCTTTCATGCTGTCAAAACACTTCCACAGACGTATGATATCTGAAGATTGTACAGCTAAGAGTCTGTAGAAGTGATCAGAGATCGTTTCGAATTCTAAACCGATGATAACCCTCCTGTCTTTTCCAAATGTCTCCTTCATAAACAATAAGATCTTTTTTGTGACGGAATACGACCTTGGTTATATTCTTGGTCAAACAGTATGGCTTGGCATATGGTATTCTTGCTTGTTTGTTGTTTCACTTCATGAAACGATGGTTTAGCTATTAGAGCCCTCAACTTTCATTTAATAGAAAGCAGGTTTGAACTACGATTCATCTTTGGTCCAAGTTTCCGGTTATCATCAGTAACGTTCATACAAAAGATGATTCAGCGGAATACATGAATCTGTACTTAGTTACCTATTTATTTTAATTAAATATATGTGATTTCCCATTTTCTACATTATTCTTAGATATTCCAGGGAATTTCAGGTCAGTCTTTGTTCTTCCTTGTTTTCCGGCTTCCTCCAGAGATCGGGTTACTCATTAAGTTTTAGTTATATTGTGTTTGTATGATTTAATCTATTTGACCAATGGATTTATTCGATAACCTAATTAATACATTCGGTCTTGTAAATTACCTTTTGTAGAGATTAGTTCAGTTGACATGTGAACCAGATCCAATGAATCCCCACCCAGATCGTGAATGCTGTGTATCTCTTAGCTTCCGTTTGGATGAGTAAGTTTACATTATTTGTGCTTGGACTCACAATGAACTGAGGCTCTGAAGATGAGCTAATTTATAATAATTGAAGTAGAGAGCTTTCAGTAATTCAGGATCGAATGAGTCACTATCATCCATTGGGTGCTAAAAAATGAGTTATTGGATAGTTAAAACTCCAAGTAGAATTAAAACAGAATTAGAATTTATATTAATTGAGACGGTCGTTATATTTATTCTCAACATTGTTTCTACATGGAATGTTTCCGGATTCCTCAAATAAGTACAGTTTAATTCATATTAATTGAACACTCAGTCCCATAGCATTTGAGCTTCCACATTTGAAAGCTTTGTTTCTAACTTATGTATTACGTAGATTAACTTGGTTTCCGGATGACTTCCACTTCAATGTGATTGATAACTAGTTTCGTCAAGTCTTCTTGTCTTGTTTCTATTAGTTCACTCAAGGTTTAATGGAATTAAAATATGAACAGTGAGTTGAAACACTATTATTTTAAGATGGATAATTCTTTAAAATGTATGATCTTTTCACATATGCTAACAAACTCACCAGTTTACCATTTTTTTAAAAACTCGAACATATACACATTGCCACGTCATTTAACCCAGCGATTACAAGATCGACAAAATCCGATTACCTCTAAAAATCTGTAACTAATTGTTCACTTTGGTGGCAGCCTATGTAGCTTACCAGTGACTGTGATCTACAGTGAATGGTATTTGTATATCTTTAAAAAAGGAATATCTACGCTTTTGGACTACAGATAGACTTGGCTAATGAGTCTGACCAAACTTGAAACAGGCTCAGGACTGTCTACTAGTAATCTCTAGAAAACCATATACCATAATGTTTCCATATTCAGATCACAACTAAAAATATCAACGAGTTTGTTTTCTGTTACTGCTCACATATGAAGCATATAAATGTTCATTAATATTTGTACTGTTTTAGTATCGTTTGGAATTTTAATTCCTTTAAAAACGTAACTACTCTAAGTGAATAAACTAGTTTACTTGCATCCGAAACTAGTAGGTAGTAAATAATCGGTGTAACTCTCAGATTCTGCAATATTATTTATTATTTTAGTCATGCAACTAGTAAAAGCTCAATTAATGTAATCGAGGAACCTGTCTAGTTTACTGTTAACTTTGTTAGTGTGAATGAAACGAACAAACTACAATCAGTCATGTAATTACAGTTATTTCGTAATATATACTCAAAATTCAGTTTGAGATAGGCTTACATTAAACAAAATGTGTAAAGTTTATTCAAAATCCGAACCTGATTCATATAAGATTGAAAAACGCATGTTGGGTTTTTTAACGGTTTCAAAAATTGTTATAATTCTTTCTTACGTTTATGACCCAGCTATTCCTATCGCTTAGTATTCTCGGACACAGATTCACTCGACAAGTCCCCAAATCAGAACACGGTTGAACATGAAAGAGATTATATTCCAAATATCAAGGTTAGATGGAAGTAAGAAACACAAATAGGAAAAACGTTAGTATATTTATAGTTTTTACATGAGAATATTTCTAGAGTATTCTCCAAGTATCGACCAGCGCTGATTGGGCAAAAATTAGTCAATCAGCGTACACCAAAGCAATCGTGCATTGATCATGCTTTAATCCAATCTATGTCCCGCTAATAAAAATAACCATTTTTCTCGTGTGAATGACCTACTATGCTAGTTTGGCTTCGTGAACTAGCATATAAACATGTGCACAATAATTTAACGGGAATGCTTACCAGTCATTTAGTCATTTCCAGCTTGAGGCCAGATACATATATGAATTGGTCCAAGTTGGTACACCACATTCTCACAGTTATGTAACTTTATCAAGATAAATAACGGAGCAATAGTTGTAACAGTAGAAGTAGTATTAGTAAAAAAATACTAGGTATAAACGATCTGATTGGAGAGGAAATAATGGGTTCGTGAAATAAAAAGAAAAGCATGGAACTATTTTGAAATTAGGAATCCAAAAGTGAGTGTATCTACCCTTCTTGGATTGATCCTTAGCCGTTTCACACGACCTATTCAACCAGTAGTCGTATGAACCCCAACCAGGTATGATACAAGGAGGCACCAAATACATATGCGCCACACAAATCTCATTTGATTTGTTTGAGGGCTGTGATACTGACCGGCTGCCCAAACCGAAGCAGGTGGTTTTCTTAGGGGGCCACACTCCGAGCCTTCGACCTGATAATCTGATCCATAAGGCAGTGGAGCATCGTGAGGAGATGCAGTTCCATGGTAGCCGGTGACCAATGATGGGTTCATACGCCATTTGTCGACTCAGCATACTGAAGCCCATGTGCACCATTGTTTTGGAATCATGGTTTTCCAACTCCCCCAACGAGTTACAACGCAACCAGGTAGTGTGAAATAACTGAAAGGTTAAACATCTAATCGTTCCCCAGTTTTTATATCGTATATTCCATTAGTTAAATGACAATTAATTCCTATTCTGCTTTTATTTCAGTATTTGCGATGTTTACAAAACTTTTGTGCTTGGAATAGTTTGTAGTTTGTTACTAGATGGTGATAATGCACCTTTATATCGTGGTTTAATTGAGTCAGGATATGGTCTAGACTGGATCGACAGTGTCAACGGAATCGATCGCGAAACTCGCACTACAAGTTTTCATGTCGGGGTACAAGGTGTTCGCGCAAATGATCTGGAAAACTTTCCCCATATAATCAACGATATATTATCTGAAGTCGTTCGGTAAGATTTATCATCCGTTTAGAAATTTCCATTTATTTGTATGTTATTTTAGAAACAAACCTGTCTGTTGTAAATGAACCACTCATTTCTTCATTTGACTTCTGTCTACTTTTTTGACGGTACTATTAACGTGCATTGATCACCAAGTTACTTGGTTCTCAGGCGTGCTTTAAGAAATTCTTCGAGTTACAGGTCTACATATAATATTAAGCTCGCGATCCACTAGAGTAGATCGATGTGCTATAGGGGTCGTATGGAGTTTATAGAAACACTGTGATTATAAGCAAGACGTTTCGCATAGGCGCAAGTGGCCTTACTTGCCATTATCAAGCAAATGCAGCCAGTCTCCATCTGCACTTTTCGGTTGGCTGGTGGTAGCTAGACTTGAGCCTGACACGGATACTTGGATGAAACACAAGTTGCAGTCGATTTGCTTGCATCGATTCTATTACAACGATTGGTTTGTTGACAATAGGAGTGCAAGATAATATTAGAGCAAATCAGGGTGTGATCAGAATCTAGATTTATATATTTGAACACATAGATATTGGTACAAGGGGGCACCAAATATATATGCACCACACAAAATAATGAGAATTTAAAGAGAAGGGAAAAAAAGGCTAAGAGCGTAGGGAATTATAAAATAAGAAAAAAAAAGAGAGAACAATAACGACCAGATTAGTGTAAGGTAGTGTAATAGTAGTAATAATGAGGGAAACGAAAAGGTACAATCAGAGGAAATCTTACAGTTAAGGAAGAAGCAACAGCTTTTTACGAAGAAAGTAAAGGAAGGTTACAGCAGGATCACCACTGGCTTCTATTCTGAGCCATATCTGATAACGTTTATGGCCACTGTGTTGCACCATCTCTCGGAACCCAGCCAGGGAGTCGTGAAGGACCAACACAAGCCAGCTCTTTGCATCTTTCTTTCATACCACGACACCAAGTCATACACTGACCACCTCTCCGCTTTTTCCAACCAGTCCCAGAGTCGGCAAATAATGCACGACGAGGAATTCTCTGGAACGACATTCGTAGAACATGCTCAAGCCACTGAAGTCGGTGTTTCAAGATGGTGACACCGAACACACGATGCCGAACCTCTGCATTACTAACATGAAGTTGCCATTGGATGTCAATGATCGTTCGGAGACAACGATGATCAAACACAGGGAGTCGTCTAACATCCTCAACTCGGAGAGGCCAGGTTTCACAAGCATAGAGCAAAACTGCTCTCACCGACGCGTTGTAGATTCGACCTTGTACAACCAGACTAACATCACGAAGGCGCCAAACATGGCCCAGATTGGCATAAGCCACTCTGGCTTTCACTATACGTGCGTTGATCTCATCACTCACGCCACCACCAGCATTTGTTCAGCTACCCAGATACAAGAACTTCTCAACTACTTCTATCTGCTTACTACCCAGGGTGAGTGCTGGATTAAGGTCTTGCCAGTCTTGTAAAAGTACTTTGCGCTTCGATGGTGTAAAGCACACACTATATCTACGGACACTAATTGCCAACTGGTTAAGGGTGAACCCTTTTTAAAGATAGGGACAACTATCGACTCATTCCATGACATTGGTACACTCTCTAGTCCCCAGACCTTTGTAAACAACGTCGTCAGTCCCTTAGTCAGAAAGTCACCACCATCTTTAAAAAGAGCCGAGGTAAGTCGTCTGGGCCCGGTGATTTGTAACGTTTCAAGAGTTGGAGTTCCTTGCGGACTTCCGCCTCATTTGGTGGATCAGTCGTCACCGGCCATGGAGGGTAAGACAGTCTGACCGATGTTGCCGGAGCAGCAGGCCAGTTGAACTGCCCTTCAAAGAATTCTGCCCATCGTCCAAGACGTCGATGGATGCTAATGATTGGCATCCCGTCATCCTCGCAGATTGTTTCGCTCACACCAGACTTCTTGCTGCCAGTGGCTCGGATGAGTTGGAAGAGCTTCCAGTAATTACCAGATGCAGCTGCTGCTTCCAGCTCATTAGCACGCTCCGACCACCAGGCTTCTCGGTCCTTACGCAAGCTTTGCTCGATTTCGTTACGCAACATTCTTCGTCTGTGGTCAAACTCACGGTCGCCCGGAGTAGACCGACGGGCTTCAATGAGTTGTAAGGAACCAGAAGAAACCCAGTGCTTATAAGCGGGACGTTTCGCGAACCCACAAGACTTGACCCGCCATTTTCATGGCGTCATGCAATTGCAACCAATGCTCATCTATACTTTTCGGTGGAATGGTAGCTAGCCTAGAAGCTAGCTCGGTTCGATACTTACTAGCAACAGAAGTTGCAATCAACTCGCTGACATCAATCCATTGGTGGCGGTCACTTCGTTGTCCACTGAAAAGTAAGGTAAGATTGGCGCAGACCAGGGCATGATTAGAGTCCAGATAGGTACTCCAAAAGGAGCGGCAGTCTTGTACACAACCACGCCAGTGGTAGCTGATCGCGATGTGATCAATCTGAGTCCAGGATTGAGATGCAGAGGGAGGACCCAGGTGGCACATCGGCGATGACTGTGCCGAAAGTTAGTGCTAGCCAGAAACAAGTTGTGGTCTGTGCACAACTGCAGTAGACAGTCTTCGTTATCTGTCCTGCGACCAACAAGTCCCCATCGGCCACCTAAACGACTCTCTTCCGTGTCTAGACGCCCGACCTGAGCATTCAAGTCTCCGGCTAGTACTACAATATCTGTCGACCGCACTTTCTGGAGAAGAACAGTTAACTGGTGGTAGAATTCATTCTTGATTGCATCCGGGCTGCAATCTGTCGGAGCATAGACGGAGATGACCAAAAGACATAGTTTCTCACGCCGATTTCTTCTCACTTTGATGGTACTTTCTAATCTAACAGCACATAACCGACTGTTAATAGGGATCCAATCGATTGGTGCTGCCTCAGCTCTAGCGCTTAGTGCGACACCAACGCCAGCAAGACCAGTCGAAGATGCCACAGGGTCCCCGGATAAACGCACGTAAAACAATCTTTTTGAAGTGACAGATGGAGAGCGAATTTGTAGTACTTCACCAGAGTCTTGGATACGGGTCTCGGATAGACAACAAACGTCAATATTAGGACTTTCCAAAGACATAGCCAGCCCTATCTGTTGTCCGACCTGCATAAGTGTGCGAACGTTAAAGGCAGGCAGTTTGAATGGTGCACGTGGTTTCAGAAAAACTGCTTCAGTACTCGTATTTGGTGGTAGCATACAATTTTCAACCAGGCAGTGACACGAGAACGTTTAGATAGAGCCGAATGTCCACAATAGGCGAGCTGCCGTATAAGTCGAAAAATAAGGATAGACAGAGTGGGAATAAAAGAGGGTGAATAAATGACGTGGTAAATAATAATAATAATAATAATAATAATAATAATAATAATAATAAAGCGAGTCATTTGATTATTAATCGGAGCGAAAAGAATATTTTCCATAAGTAGACAGTTCATCAGAATCAAGATACATACTCCGAAAGTAGCGACAGTCTCGTAAACAACCATACCAGAGGTGGCTAGTCGCAACGTGATCAATCTGACCTCAGGAATGAGTTGCGAAGGAACGTTGTTGGGACTGTTCCATGACCCTTTACTGCTGAATATTCAACTACTCAATAAAAGAGCATTATAAGATCCAGACAACCTGTCCCTGACCATTCTCAACGACGAGGGATATCATTCAAAGTCTGTAACCATTAGTTACGGCAATTAGGCGGACCTCAATGCAATTGTCAATGACTTCATGGACTGGTGCTACGTTTCAGTCCGGCTACTCCTAGGTTTCTTTCAGCCTACCACACCAGACAACATCGCCCATCTAGGTATGCGGTGTTTGGGTATATTACATAGTATATGTTGCAACTATTGATAAGGATTTCCTACCTCATCTATCGATTTGTTATCCCTGCCTAGGACCTTGCGATTAACTTCAAAGTTGCCCACTCGGTGTTGTCAAAATACACGAACAATGCTGCGAACTCATTTTCGGTCAAATACTAGTAACTTATAGATATCCTCTGTTCTTAATGGTCATGTTCCATATCCATTAACTTGAACGGACTGAACTGTTGGGGGACAATCTGTTACCTACGACATTATTTAACGCCTACGGTTTCTTATATACGACCTAATCCTTGCAATCTTTTAGCTACTATTTTTGACATACTACCTTTAAATACTGTTTACAGCCTACGACCTACGGTTTGCGACCTACTACGTGAAACTGAGTAATTACTGCTTGCTAACTAGGACCTAATACCTTTTACTCATAACCTACAACGTCCCTGCTACTAGTTCGGTATTTGCCTTAGTTCATCAATTTGTATCGATCGACAGACATGCCGGCTTCTACGTTTTTTATTTATAACTGGCTGCTTATATATATATATATATATATATATATATATATATATATATATATATATATATCTGCTTAAAATTGATGTTAAAGCATTATTGCTAACTGCAGTTATAGATATTCGATCGATCAGTTTTAGATAGGAAGATATAGATGATAAAACATAACCAATGATCTCGTCGCAGTCAGGATTAGGTCGAGAATAAAATAAATTCATTTGAAAAGGCAGAAGTATAGATGAAATCTACATAGGTGTGGCATCTGTGTATCCATCACTAATCTCTCATTGAATTTGTTTCCCAGAGATTGTGCAATGCAGTGGCTTGTCATAGGCAAAAATGAAAAAACTGTCACTTTCTCTTACATTCTCCATGAAAGTGAGATGGACGCCATAGACCGCGAGAAATGTTTATCGGCTGTATTTTTATCTAGATTGTGTCTTTTATTAAAGATGTTATGCATTTTCATTTATTAAAATTGTCATGCACACGTAATTTAAGTTTTTTCGAAATCTTTCAGTGAAGCTCTGCTTCGATCTGACCATTGGTTCTTATTAGTATTCTTAATGTATAGGACTGTTGTTGTTTCGAAAACTAGAAATCGATGTTTAGGGTTACATTCTTAAATTTCAATTTTCGGTTTTATAAAATCTCAGTTTGAGTTGTAAAGGTCTTCACAAACATCCAAATAAGTATTGTCCATCAAAAAACGCTTACAATCTACTCATAGGTTTGGGAGATGTCATTCTAGAAAACTGAAAAAAACTTTTTAACAGGAAAGATTATACAAGGCTGTCCTTGAATTCGATGACAAGTTCAGCTTATGATGTTTAGCACGGCTACTTTACACACTTAAATAACTATTATTTCTCATACCCTATCAAAGTGTTAATGATTAAAAATTATTTTTTACTCGTATAGGGACGGTTTTGCAATAAAAGATGTTGAGGCTACTCTTCATCAGTACGAACTGGAAATTCGTCATGAGTCGGCTCGTTTTGGTTTAAATCTAATCCTGAACCTGTCCAATGCTGTTAATCATGGTGTTGATTTGAATGAGTTCCTGAAAATTGAAGCTAATGTGGATCGATTTCGACAGGAATGGACCAAAGATCCGACTATGCTTCAAAGTTTTGTTCAACAATTCTTTCTAGTATGTGTAATGTGTTTACTGTATTCATGCATACCGTCTTTTGTCTCGTTTAATCTCATGCGAAAATCTTACCTAAGTTCTCTTGGATTTTTTTGCACTAGAAAGCTGTAAGTATAGGGAAACTTGTCTAATCCCAAGAGTCATTTGCTCGGAAGTGCCCTCTATGTTGTCCTGTGTATTATTTTCTATTACCTAAGTTATTGTATTTTTAATTGTTATCTTTAGTCATGTTATTTTGATATGAGGAAACCTAATACTTCTAGTGATAAATGTTTTGCAGCCAATGTCATTTTAAGTAATGTGTGGATAAAATGAGTAGTAGTATGAAGCCGGACCTATTATTGTCATTGTAAGTTGAACGATCTTCAACGATAGAACCAAAGGATGAAAAAGTTTCAAAGTTCATGGTTGAAAAACGATGACACTGTTTGGCGCGAAAAGTGAAATTATTTTGTACTATGATTTGATTACCCTGCATTTTGAAATGTTACGGCTCGTCTAACAAAAAATATAACTCATAAGTGTGATCCATAAGTGTTTCACACGGTATATTTTCGGTGATCGAAATAAAGGGAGTTATTGATTTTTTAATTTTTATCAATATTGTTTTAGTTATTATCTTTTGCATGTATCGTAATTGGGTGTTAATGCTACACCTAGGATAACAAACACAAACTGACAACTGTAATGCGTCCTGATCCAAACTGGAAGTCCATAGAAGCCAAGAAGGATGAAGAAAATTTGGATATTCTGACAAGGAACATAACACCGTTGGAAAGGGAAAAATTAACACTGAAGGGTAAGACATATGTTTTTCAGTTTGCTGATTATTATCACCCCAGTGCTTCAGGCACCATGGTATTAAGGCTCAAAATGGCTATTTGAAATTATCAAAAAGTTCTTCAAATCTCTGTTGAAGTGTTTCTTTATGGAGGTCTTTTAATCCAGTTTTTGTCGATTTCTATTGCTATTTTATTTATTCATCTCTATATGTGTTTAAATTTAGTACTCTTCATCGAGGTATTTGTTGTCCTGTGATTCAATCCTTCCCATTGACAAGTGCTGCTTGTATAATTTTATGCCCTTACTAGTAGTATGACCAAAGGTTCCCATATCAGGTAAATGGCGACAAACCACTATACTATTTGTGCCTAGTGGTATACACAGTAAATTAACCATCAGTTCATTGATTAGTACTTACATATTTTTATTAGTTCGTGTAAATAAACTTTTTTTACCGGTATAGATACTTTTCAACATAGTTATTTTACTTTTTCAAAACAAATGCAACTTATTCATCATAGGTTCCACATTGTGTATAACTGAGCAACAAATATGGACTAAGTTTACTTGTATAGTGTCTCTTGCGCCCTGTATTCAAGAAATATTACGTTATTAACTTGGATACGTGCCTTTAAATTGAGTGCATTAATAGGTGTGTACAGTAATTTTAAACTAACAACTTATTGTCCTTTAGTAATAGAGGGTTGTAAAAATTACAGAATTTTGTACTTTTATATCTTAGATCGACCTTAGAACACTACTGTAAACCAGGAAGCACTAAACGATCAATTCGTCTTAGTATAGTAATTCAATATCCGTATAACACTTTGATCCTACTTATTATTCTTATTTGAAAAATAGCTCATCAACTCCTTGAAAAACAAAATCAAGAAGAGGATGTTTCATGTTTACCGTGCCTCGACATTTTTGACGTACCTTTGGAATGCAGACCAGAACCGTTTACACTCACACAAAGTAAGTGATTAATCAATTTTGTGGCCGATCACATAGTTCTTTGTGGCGAAGATGCTCATATAATTCAATCTACTGGTTGGTAACAAGGGGCGAATTAGATGACCGTATGGATCTGTTCATTTATCTTGATGGTCTCACCACATTTGACTGCTTAGTGTCTAACGAAATCGACTCATTCGACTTTTGCTAACTTACGTCACTTGTGATGCAGAACAAATGTCCGTCTTCCAACAAGGTAGTACTTAAATTATGCAGGAGTTTACTCTGCATTAATTTATGGGTGTGAATATTGGTCTACGAAAGTAGAAGACATGAAAATGATGATATTCTCTGAAAACTATTCTCTCCGCGATTTATTATTATTATTGTTATAATTATTATTATTGTTATTATTATTGTCATTATTATTATTACTATTATTATTATTATTATTATTATTATTATTATTATTATTATTATTATTATTATTATTGATATTATTACTAATATTATTGTTATTATTATTGTTATTGTTGTTATTGTTATTATTATTAATATTATTATTTACCACGTCATTTATTCACCCTCTTTTATTTCCATCCTGTCTATCCTTATTTTTCGACTCCAACTCTTGAAACGTTACAAATCACCGGGCCCAGACGACTTACCTCCGGCTCTTTTTAAAGATGGTGGTGACTTTCTGACTAAGGGACTGACGACGTTGTTTACAAAGGTCTGGAACTAGAGAGTGTACCAATGTCATGGAATGAGTCGATAGTTGTCCCTATTTTTAAAAAGGGTTCACGTCGTTCCTGTAACAACTATCGGGAGATAAGTCTACTTCCGATTGCGTCCAAGCTATTGGCTTCCGTTATACTTCGTAGGTTGTTCAAAACCCGAGAAGGATTTACTCGCGAGAAGCAGGCTGGGTTTCGTTCTAGTCGAGGATGTATTAATCATATCTTCACTCTCCTCCAAATATTAGAACACCGCCATACTTATCAAGGGCCAACAATCGTAGTGTTTCTTGACATCTTGGCTCCCTTCGATTCGTTGGATAGGTCTGTTCTCTGGGATTGTCTGTTGAAGAAGTGTGTGCCTGAGAAGTTTATTAACATCCTAAAAGCCCTATATACAAACACCTCAGGCAGAGTGAGGGCATACAACCACCTTTCTCCGTTATTCCATTCGAGCAGTGGGGTTAGGCAGGGTTGCCCAATCTCACCATTCCTCTTCAACTTTGCCATCGATGACATTCTGGAAACAGCTCTGATGGATGTAAGTAATGGTGGTGTGGATCTGTTGCGTGGAGAAAGACTTCTCGACCTTGAGTATGCGGATGATATTGTCTTACTGTGCGAGAATGCCCAAGCCATGCAATCAGTGTCCGTAGATATAGTGTGTGCTTTGCACCTTCGAAGTGCAAAGTACTTCTACAAGACTGGCAGGACTCTAATCCTGTACTCACCCTGGGTAGTAAGCAGATAGAAGTAGTTGAGAAGTTCTTGTATCTGGGTAGCTGCACAAGTGCTGGTGGTGGCGTGAGTGATGAGATCAACGCACGTATAGTGAAAGCCAGAGTGGCTTATGCCAATCTGGGCCATGTTTGGCGCCTTCGTGATGTTAGTCTGGTTGTACAAGGTCGAATCTACAACGCGTCGGTGAGAGCAGTTTTGCTCTATGCTTGTGAAACCTGGCCTCTCCGAGTTGAGGATGTTAGACGACTCCCTGTGTTTGATCATCGTTGTCTCCGAACGATCATTGACATCCAATGGCAACTTCATGTTAGTAATGCAGAGGTTCGGCATCGTGTGTTCGGTGTCACCATCTTGAAACACCGACTTCAGTGGCTTGAGTATGTTCTACGAATGTCGTTCCAGAGAATTCCTCGTCGTGCATTATTTGCCGACTCTGGGACTGGTTGGAAAAAGCGGAGAGGTGGTCAGTGTATGACATGGTGTCGTGGTATAGAATAAAGCTGAAAAGGGCTGGCTTGTGTTGGTCCTTCACGACTCCCTGGCTGGGTTCCGAGAGATGGTGCAACACAGTGGCCATAAACGTTATCAGATATGGCTCAGAATAGAAGCCAGTGGTGATCCTGCTGTAACCTTCCTTTACTTTCTTCGTAAAAAGCTGTTGCTTCTTCCTTAACTGTAAGATTTCCTCTGATTGTACCTTTTCGTTTCCCTCATTATTACTACTATTACACTACCTTACACTAATCTGGTCGTTATTGTTCTCTCTTTTTTTTTCTTATTTTATAATTCCCTACGCTCTTAGCCTTTTTTTCCCTTCTCTTTAAATTCTCATTATTTTGTGTGGTGCATATATATTTGGTGCCCCCTTGTACCAATATCTATGTGTTCAAATATATAAATCTAGATTCTGATCACACCCTGATTTGCTCTAATATTATCTTGCACTCCTATTGTCAACAAACCAATCGTTGTAATAGAATCGATGCAAGCAAATCGACTGCAACTTGTGTTTCATCCAAGTATCCGTGTCAGGCTCAAGTCTAGCTACCACCAGCCAACCGAAAAGTGCAGATGGAGACTGGCTGCATTTGCTTGATAATGGCAAGTAAGGCCACTTGCGCCTATGCGAAACGTCTTGCTTATAATCACAGTGTTTCTATAAACTCCATACGACCCCTATAGCACATCGATCTACTCTAGTGGATCGCGAGCTTAATATTATATGTAGACCTGTAACTCGAAGAATTTCTTAAAGCACGCCTGAGAACCAAGTAACTTGGTGATCAATGCACGTTAATGAGTTGAAAGCACCAACTGCACCTAGTAACTCCCGGGTCACTAGCAGAAAAATGTCCTGTGTCAGTGAAACATTGTATGAGGTCGATGATACGCCAATCAGTCATAACCTTCAAAAACAAGTTCCCATCTAGGTCGGAGGTGTAATTCCTTACGTTCCTTACCTTTTTCCTCTTCTCCTTAAATTCTCATTGTTTTGTGTGGCGCATATATATTTGGTGCCATCTTGTACCAATATTTGTGTGTTCAAATAAAATAAATAAAGAAGACATGAGTAGACTGTGGTTTCTTTATCAGATATATTTTCAGAGCAGTACTTGCGTACTGTGAAACAACTTTGCGAGAAGTACTGTGTTTAAATTTAGGAAACTAGCCGGATATAATAAATCAGTTTTGTCGTCATCGATTTAACTGCACAAAATGAAGTTATGCTTCTTACTCTACTGGAATGTATAGGATGTTAAATAACTTTCAAGGTGTGAAGAAAATCTTCAGTGATGTTTGTTACCAACCTCAGTATTAAAAATATGCAATCCCTTCTTGTATCATGTATTTTGGTTTCTGAGTATGATGTTTGGGAAGCATGTAATTAACTCCGGATTTTATATTCAGAAGCGTACGTTGACAAAATCATCAGTCTCAATCTAGTTTTCTTTCTCAGGTCTTTTGGAAATAAGTATTTATTTTTAATGCAGGTATCCAAGATGTGTCGAGCAGCCCTTAAATCCCAGCAGCACTTTAAGATAAAACTAAATTTTATTCGTGTTGTTTCAGACTTTTCACTTACTATTTCTACAAATATTTCTCTATGAATGTGTAATCTTTTTACAATATAATCACTACTCCCGTTTGTAGTAGTCTAAATTTATGACTACTAGTTTGCTCTGTTTCAAATAAATCATTCACTGCTCCCAATACTATTTCGTTAGCGAATAAAATACATGAAATTTCGTTATTTAATGTGTTTTTTGTGTATGAAAAATGTATTTCCTGTCCTCATAAAATTTCCTGTCTATTTTTGTAATGTTTAGCTTCAGATTTTCCTGTCCAGTTGAACGAAGCAGCAACTAATGGTCTAGTTTATTTCCATGCTTTGGCTGATTTGAAGGATTTGCCTTATGAACTACTACCTTACGTTCCACTGTTTTGTTCGTTGTTTACCAGGTATATTTTGTTGCCTAAAGTATTATATCAATATACGCAAGTTTTTTTGGACTTCAGTGTATAAATCTTCACTGCGGTCAAACATTTGAAAAATCTGTTTAGCTAAAACTCACTGGTTGAAAGTTTCTACTGAAACCCTAACTCGTTTTAAATTACTCAGCTTTTCTTTTAACTGAGATTGTCCCTAAATTGTCGTATTACTAAAGCTGCTTATCCTACTGTACGTAATCTGCTTTTTAGATTGGGAGCGGATGGAATGTCTTACTCAGAAATGAGCCAAGCAATGGATCTACATACAGGTGGTTTCATTGCTTCTCCTTTTGTTACACCTAAAATACCATCTTGTTCAAAAACTGAATTTTCGTCTGCATCTCGACAAATTCATTTGTCCAGTTATTGTCTTGAATCTAAAATACCTAATTTCTTTGAACTTTGGTCAAAACTTTTCCGTTCCCCAGATTGGTCCGATCAGGAGCGTTTATCAACTCTGATTCAAATGTCAGCTGCAGGTGAATGGTCAGCTAATGCAATTTCAGATTCAGGTAAATACTAGCGTTATAAATCCCCTAATTTAGGTTATAGAATATTTCTTTGAGTTTTTGTTATTCTTATCAACATTAATGAAAACGATAAGTTATTGCGATGCTAAGCTTTACGTCAGTGTGACCACCATTACATATACTCTTGGAAAGTTGCAGATTCATTGCGAACATCCCGACATAGCAGTTAGGAGTTTTATGAATATCAAGAAAGTCAATTTTGGCGATAAATATCTAGTCTCAACAATTAACAGTTGGGTGTACAGAAGGGAAAAATATCTTTCTATTCCGAATAATCTTAAAGATTGAAATGATCTAACTCAAATATTTATATTTGTAAACCTAACGAAAAACTACTGAAAATGTATATTTTCATGTAATATTCTAGTTATAGGTATTTTTTGCTTATTATTTCACTATAACTAAATGTGATTGACTTTGATTATTCAGGATTAATGATAAGATTTTCATGTAAGCTCTCAGTCAATGGATTACATATGTTCTCGAATTCAGTCAACCAGAAGCAACATAGAACCTGGGGTATCAGTCCAATTTACCACATCACATCAACACTATAATTTAGGTTATAGGTCAACGATTGACAATATATTGATACGGAGTTAACGAAAGGTATTTCTAACGAGTTTTCGTGGTTAAATTAACTCCCGTTTCCTTCGTTCTCTCTCATAATTGTCCAAAGACTTGTCGACAGCTTTTTTTTAAAAAAAAGAGTTTCAATTTTTTTAATGATATCAGTTCAAATTCTGCTTACGTTCGTGTTATTCTTTGCCGTATACAAAGCCACAGAATTTACCTGGTTTGAAATGTTATTTAGAAAATGAAAAATCCCACAATATTTTACAATGATCAGTATTGTATTGACATTTTTATAGCTACAATTATTCTAGTACATGTATTTTTTTATAAGCCCACCAATTTGCGATGTGTCGCGCAGCTGCCAGTCTTTCATCAACTCGGCTTACTCGTGAACTCTGGTCAGGGATTGAGCAGGCTAGAATCATGCAACATATTGCCGGCGAAATCGGATTAGAAAGTGACAAACGAAGTGATGTTCTTTCAAACATTACTGAACGTATGAAGGCTATTTGGAGTTATATTACTTCACATAAAAGACTAAAGTAAGTTCATGTATAAGTTGCAGAACAGTCATTTTTCATTTAAGTCTTCTGTTTTGTAGAAATCCCTTGTTTGAGTGAATTATACTAAATTCTTGCGGTGTGTTTTTGCATCGATGTGAACATTATTTTGAATTCATACATACTGTAGATGAAAATCGATACGAATAATATAATTTCAAATTACTGTTTCCTATTGTATTAAAATATAAGTTACACGTTTATACATCAGTGTCTTTTGGCATCCTTTTATCGAATTTTAGATTCAGTCTTCATGGGGAAGCCGATGGTTTAATGTCAGGATTAAAGCACCTTGATGGATTTTTAAATGACTTATCACAATCATCAAAAGTGTCGACCAGTTTATTGATTGAAGACTCTCAAAATCCAGATGTTTTTCCAAATATTTCTCGGAATACATTTTTTGCAATGCCGTATACAGTGCACTATGCTGCTAAGGCTATTGAAGCTCCAAGCTATGACTCTGAAGATTATGCAAGGTAGGAAAAAACTAGCAGTTTTAAGTCGATTTTTATTTCTTTAAATGTTCATACCAAAATTCAATAGTCACCTTATCTCATAGTTCACTTCCCTCTCTTTCTGTAGTTATCGTGTCTTGGCTCATTTACTGTCGTTTAAGTACCTACATCGTGAAATAAGGTGAGTTTTGTGTACTGTCGGTTATGTTAAAGCATATACTTTCTCAGTTTTACGAAATACTTGCGTTCTTGTGGAGGCTAATGTATCACTAGAGTTTAGAAATATGGAAGCAGTTTTAAACGCTTTTATATCCAAATTTTCTTACTCGAATGGATTCACATGTTTACGTACTTCATAAATAGGAGATTGGCTCAGAAATGTATTCACTTTAAGATCAAATTGAAATCTATCATCTTACTAGTCATAGTATAGCCAAGCGCCTGCTTACGATCAATGGAAACAATATATGCATTCTCCATGTTTCATTTCACACATTTTTGTATTTGCTTCATTTTGAGATGGTGGAGATTTGTAGTTCAGGTGGATGATTTTGATGGAGTTTTGTTCTCTGAACTGGATAGTTTAGTCGCGAAGCTTTCATCGTTCTTCTGAACGACATCATCAGCACAAACTTCAGGTAGAAGTCAAGAACTAGACTTCATCAAAAATAGTATTTACTTCATCCCTACTTTCTCTTTACGTAATTGTTTCTGTTGTATAAGCTAGGACTAATGAAATTTTCAACAGAATCAGTCATTCAGTTACATGCAAATGTTCATCAGCATAACAACATGGAATTGTGAGTATGAATACCAAACTAGTGTTATAGTATCATCGATAATGAATAGTAAATATTACGCATATAAAGAATGTGATTCGAGAAAATAGAATTAAAGGGGATGTGTGAAGAAGCAAAATTTAGAGTCCGACTCTGAGACATAACTATAAACGTTTTCTTTCACCGATTGCGTTTATCGCAAGGACCTCAGCTGAGTGGTAGTCTGCATCTACCAACTGCGAGTAACTTCATAGACTGAAACCATATTTTTGTTTGGTTGATTTTAACGTTCTTCCAACCTACTCGTGCACTGACAAACATTGTCCGTTGAAGTACGCATTGCTTATGCATACGTGACACATGTCCTAACTCCTTCAGTCGACTAAGTTAACCTCAACAACTGATTTGCTATCTTTGCCAGGTATTATATGCCTGATCTCATTGGTCACTCGATCATTCCACGAAACGCGAACAATGTTTCGAAGACATTCATATTAAAAATAAGTAGCCTACCTATGCCTTCTTGTTTTGTAGACTGTTTCATGGGGACAGAGTAATGCGAAATAAACTATTGCTCAGTTTACTTACCCTTTTCTGAGTGCGTACCGATGATGGAACTTCCAAGATAAGTAAAGCGGTTGATGTAATTGTCTGCGCTTCCTTTGCTCGACCTAGCCGATGGAGATAAGTTCTGAAGCTAATATTGCATTTAGAGGGAGTAAAACGCGTTCCGAACATGTATTTTTACTCAAGGGGATCAAAATATTGCAGCGAAAATAGTGAGAAATGAACGTGGAAAACTTTGGCGTGATAAACGCCAAATCGAAGTTTTAAGATGAACCGATTTCAGTAAAGGTGGTTTTCTTATTGATTTTGGAACCCAGCGTCTCCTACAATTTCACCCATCCCTCTAGTCCCTTGAGTTAAGAATATTTAGTGGTCCTACCCAGGTAGGTAGTTTAAACGAAACAGAAAGACATTTAGGTGGGAATTTTAGTATTCCGGCACAGCGGACAGATATTGGTGATCGTCTGCTGCAACTGTGCTCAGGCAATCGTTTATTTTTAGCAAACACAAATTTTAAGCATAAGGAGAGACATCGTCTAACATGGCGACCCCCTGCACCATATTGCCATCAGTCATCGTTGGAGAGGGTCGATAGAAGATTATCGCACATTCTGGAGTACCTGCTTGAACTCCAACCATGCCCTAATACGAGCACGCATCTGCTTGCGCCTCACTAGACGGAAAAAAGCCACATTAAAAAAAACCCATTAGAACTGAACTAAGTAACGAGAAAACCAAAAATAGATTCCAGGTCCACCAACTCTAGCTGAAGTTCAAAGGCTATAGTTAATCTAAAACGAGGAAGGGCAGCTGGTCCAGATGGATTGGTTCCAGAGGTCTTTAAGGATGGTGGTCCAATTTTAGCGACTAGGTTGATTAATAGTTTAGTTAAAATCTGGGAGTTGGACATAATCTCCTCTGACTGGTCACAATCATCCTGTGACAACCATAGAGGAATTAGTTTAACTAATATAGCATTTAAAATACTAGTTTCGATAATTATCGGACGCCTAACTAAGACTCGTGAACTGCAAACACGAGAGAATCAAGCTGACTTCAGACCTGGTCGTGGATGTATAGACCACATATTCACCATTCGTGAGGTTCTAGAACACAGTAATGCTTATCTGCGTCCGATAATGATAGTTTTTCTTGACTTAAAAGCAGCATTTGACTCTTTAGACCGAGAGGTTTTGTGACAATGTCTGTTATTGAGAAGTGTACCTCAGAAGTAAATAAACCTTGTGAAGGCTCTTTTCTCGAACACTACTAGTTGAGTCAGAGCTTATGGCGAGTTGTCATCTTTTGCAACCTCAAGTGATGTCCGTCAAGACTCCATTTTCTCCATTTTAACTACCTCTATGAATCCGGTGTTCATCTTGTTTATTTAATGCGGTATGGCAATTCGGACCGATGCATATATGTGCCTGGTCCTACGTTGCAGCTGACTGACTGACTAACTTTTCCTTATTTTTCGCTTTCATCTCTTACCACCTCTCATGACTGTTAGTAGGTTTTTTGTTGGTGTATGCTTAAGTTTGAACTGAGACTCTGACTGATTCACTTAATTGTTTTTAACGTTAGTTTAGCCTATCTACTTACGGATCAAAATCACCTGCCACGATTTCTACATCTAGACGTTTGATTCTTTTCATCTGACTTGAAGTAAGTGGGATATGAAACAGACTGTGGTTATGTAATAGCGTGCGTGGCTTCGAATCGATCACAATGGCGTAGATGTACACACCCTATATGTTCCCTTAAACTATGAGATTAAAATCGCTTCATATCTTTCTACGAACTAATTCTTTATTCCTGTATTATATCCTCATACACAATCTTTCTTTTATATATTACTACTTCTATGAATTTGTTGTTGATGTTTTTGTGCTAATGAGGTATGGCAACTTGGACCGATGCATATATGTGCCTGGTCCTACGTTGTAGTTGACTGACTGACTAAGCGTGCGTCCCTATCCTTTTGAGTTATTACTGTTCTGTTTAGTCGAACACTATACAAGTATTTTTACCAAAGTACACTTCGAGACAGTCTGCTCTATTTCTAAACTCCACTTAATTATTCACCAAGTCGGTTAACATACGAAGCATAAACCATCCTATTCCTCTAAATGGATTAGGTAAGATTAAGTGAATTATTACACTTGTATCTTGCATATAAGTTTCGGAGGCACGGCTATTGTCAGTGACCTGAGGTTCTGAATTCCTAATTAATAAACTCTACTGTATGGCTTGACATAAGGTTTGACCATCAAAAGCTCGAACATGAATTTTGCATCGCAATCTCAGGAGACCAGAGATAACACTTCAATTTTAAGCTTGAGGTAAAAAGAAGTCATACGAAAATGATTTATGGTAAGAATAGAATGAGTGTTAGGAAACGAAAAAGTTGATATTGAGGGTTGTCAGAATCGTTCGGTGTGAAATCTTTGGAGAGGTGTATAGTTTTCTATTTTGTAGTACCGACCATTTTCCAACCCTCTCCTTTCGTGTTGAGAAGGCGGCGTCATTGCAAATGCTGGTTATACGAAGAAAACACCTTATCGCTGCCACATCTCTATACAGTTAGCCGTACGACTTTGTTTTCGGACTCTTAGTACCTACTCTTAGTCTTGCCTCTATCCAATCGACCTACCTGATTGGAGATATTAAGGCCTAATAGATCAAGTTCTCCAAACTCAAATGGGTCGTCACGGTAGCGATTTTTACACACCACGTTAGTTTACAGTTACAGACTTAGTTCCAACACATCATAGCTGTAATCCGCTGACACCGAAATGGATATGTGCTTTTACCTTATTCTACCAATTTTGCTGTGAATTGTGTGTCACACCGTTGGTTACTAGTCTAATTTATTTCTTGCGGCTTTCCTTTCTAATTGTGCAATTTCCCGTGAAAAGTTTTTTGTTATCAAGTGATGTGACAATTCTTTCGAATTGAGATCATTATTTTCCTTTGTATATCGTAATGTTAATGTCAACTAATTTATTTTAGATATTTCGGTTTATTTTCTTCCTTTTTCATTGATTGAATTTTTACTGGATTTTATAGGGAAAAAGGTGGTGCTTATGGTGGGGGAGCTGTTGCCAAACCGGAAGCGTTTTTGTTTTACTCCTATCGGTAAGCTACATTTCGTTGGTTATTAAGTAATTTTATTCTTCCAGTTTTATGTAAATTACTGATCTGCTTTGGAGTTTTCGCGGTTTCGTTAATCCAAAATACGAAGTGATCTGGATTTTCTCACTGATGGACTCGAAGCAGTTGATTTCAGAAATTCTCTGTGAATCGGCAAAAAAGTTGTCGGAAAATCAGTTTGGTTAAATTTGATAGATCCGTTCAGTGAAACATCTGTTTAGGAACTTCGTTATGAGAATAAAATATTCTGGTAGGATAAACTAACTTCTCTTTAGATGGCATAAATAAATGAATTCAATTCTCAGTGTTAACGGTTTTGTTGACGAGACTATATTCTATTGACGAAGCGATTAGATTTAAGAGAACAGGTCTCGAATTTTAGCGCGGAATTCATCCAATTATTTGACTAAACACTATTTCGGCATTATATCTAATGTCAGTTCCTGATGAAAACCCTAAATCTAATTCTTAAACCTAAACATCAACAGTAAATCGTAATTCTAATTTCTCAAACTACTCTATAACCGTCATTTAGTCCTAGTAAGTAGGTGGACATTTTCAAGGTCATTTTAGCGTTGCTCAAAGGTCATCAATAAATTATAATCTCACCAAATTCATTTACTATGTTAGTTTGTAAGTTTATGTTAGTTAAAACATGATGACAAACAGACGAGCGCTTTATGTAAAACTTTTTTTCTTCACTCATCTATTATTCGAGCTAGCATGAGACTTCTTTTTTTATTATTGTCACATGCTTTTGTGATTTTGTGGTTACTTATCCTTAGAAGTACTACTGTTAGCTTGATTTGGTTACCATACTTATGTATAATGTCTTAATTAACTTGTATTTTAAGTTTTATTCACGATAAATGTATTTTGTAATCGTTCTTATTAAGAAATCAATTTGTGTACTGTATTTTGTTAAGTGATCCTTATCCTCTCAAAACGCTAAGTAGTTTTGAAAATGCTATAAAATGGGCCAGCTCCAGAGAATTTCAAGATCAAGATATTAAAGAAGCTAAACTTTCTGTTTTCCAAGAAGTAAGTAAGATTGTTGGCAGTTACATTTTGCATGTCTTTCATGCCTTGCACATGCAGGATTGGGTTTTATTTAAGCATTAAACATCTTTAAACTCTGAACTTGTAGCATACTTAGTCATTTAAGATTTGAACAAGTAAAAAGGAAGTATTGTAAATGAGGCTATTTTCCAAAGTTCATATATGTCGTTACTATTAAAACAATATAAATACTCAATTATTAGCTCACCCAAATATTATAAAAATTCATATGGGTGCCAATTTGAGGATTTTTACTAGTTACTGTAGTTAATGATTGGTTAAAAGGTGTCCAGCAAATATATAGGCTTCTGGAGAAAACTAAATAATGGTTCAATCGATCTGTTGCCTTAGTAACATTGGTCAAACTTTCCTTATCTTTTTTTACCGGTAGATTTGTATCCACGAAATGAAATGAAGATTTGTAAGAAACTAAAACTTCTGAAGAGTTGAATATCGCCATTTCCAGGCTGCTTACCCTTGAAATTTATCAATGTCTGAAGTGAATTCTTAGACAGGAAACACCTTGCATTGTTTCAGATTTGAAGTACAGAAGCGTTCGATTGCCCTAAAATGAAGACATCATCATATTCGACTACACGAAACCTGTTTTGTTCTGCTTCTAATCCTACTCCAAATATGGGCCTTTTTCATAGTCCACAGGTTGTGAAAAACTCTTGAAAAGCAGTCTGGTGTTCGATCATTTTTCCTTAAGCACCAGCAGACTTATTATCTAGGTTAACAAATTCTTGTACTCCTTGATATAAAGTTCGTCTTCTATTCCTTGGACAAATTGTGGTCTGGGATTTAATTCTCCTGGGAATGGCAACATGAAAACAGTCTTGGGTAATAGTTCGAATGTTCATGCATCTAGTTAGTCGTGTAGAAGTTAATCTACGTGCAATGAAATACTAGAATGGCTTATTCCGAAATAGGGAATGTTTGTTCTAACATTTCTTCAATCCAATCACAAATATTTGGGTATTTAGAGCCTCGGTAAAAGGTGTATTGTTAACATGCAATAAATCTAGTACAGTGAAACTGTACAAAGTGAAGTCATAGGGCCTCTTGGGCGTTTACGGCAATTTGCCCAATCAGTCATGTTCTCCCTACCAAGCTGACGTACGATTTGTCAATAAGTTTTGAGATTGTCGATCAACATTTGATCGAGATTTGAACTATTATCATTTCTCGATTAATTAATAATCCTAGTAAATCCTCATGACTGTTTTTATCATTACTATTATGTCCAAATTTTATTCTATCCTTCTAATGAGTTAATACTAGTAAATTATAATTTTCTTTTGTTTTTATTTCTATTCCCACTGATTTTTTGTTTTTAGTTGGACTATCCTGTTTCAGCGGGTTCCCGCGGTCTAACCCATTTTTTGAATGGGATCAGTGATGATTTGAGACAGTCACACAGGAACCAGGTTTTCTCTGTTGACGCATCAAAAATAAAGGATATCGCTGAAAAAATTGTACAAAAATTATCTGATACGTCAGATTATCATAATGTGGGTCATGTGGTCATAGGCCCAGAGAGTAGTCCGGATTGGATTCAAGATACTTCCGAACAGGATTCCAAAATTATATGGGAACGTGTAATAATGATGACTTAGATCTACTACTACATTTGTAATGCAACTCATTAATTTAATTTGGCATTGTCTTTACAAAACTTATGTATGAGATCACTTTAGAAGATGACTCAATTTCATACATTGTTCTTGAAGAAATATATCACTAGTTTTCTCTGTCGTATGTTAACATTATATCTTCTCTCATATATAAAGTTTACAATTGTATAGAATTTTCATGTTGATAGTCACACTTATTATTCATATTTAACATTAATTGAGGGTAATTTTCTAGGTTTTAAAATCTATGGGGTATAACTGTAGTCATTATCGGTGGCGAAAGGAGTTGCACTGTTGATTAGAAGTAAGATGCATTTTAAATATGTTCATTATTAGTTTTAGCCATGCAGAATAGGATCTTTCAAAATGTGTCTAGTCTAGATGTTGTTTTGAAAATCTCTTATATTTTTTTACTTCATCCAACTATCTGTATGCAGTTTTCCATTTATAAATGTAACGGTATATATTTTAATGTCATTACGACCGTGCAAAAAATTTACCACACGAATACTCGAGTTCGTATTTATCATTTAAACTAATCAGAATTCTCTTAGTTTTTGGTTTTACATGTTTATAGTCAAGTTAACTGGCACTTAAGCTAAAAGTAAGGTTTGAAAAAAGTTTATCAACTAGCTCCTTGGTCTAAAATTGTTTGTTAAACATTAATTCAGGTTCAACTGGAAACCAAAGAAATCTACATCCCACAACTAAGGAGATAATACTGTAGAGAATTAAACGAGGATAAAGAAGCACAATCTAATGAATAGATAAAAAGAAATAGTATAATAGGAAATAAAGTCCATTTGGTAAAACAATTGAAATTAAGTAGCTTGTGTATCATATTGGCATCCTCATACTCGAAAAGTCTTTCTTCAAAATGCAGATCTACACCACGAGTACGTACCTCCTTCAGAGCACAATGTCATCGATCTCAGAGTTGGTGAAGAATCAGGAGATTGAGAAGCCGTCTTTCCATTCGTGGTTTGAAGTAATGAGGGATAGCTGACTGTATGCTTTTCTTGTGATTGAAATATTTTTAAGTAGAGCTCTTCAATATGTAAAAAAATTTTCAGACACATGTTTGTTCTACCAACACTTCCAACGTACAGTGCTGCCAAAAGAATTGAAGGCCGTGTTATGTAAAATACAAAGACTGTTGTCTTTCAATAAGTTTGATGGTGTTTTAGCATTTGGATGAGGATTTATTTCTCTGAAAAATACCGTAATCCTATAATCAGACCGGATTACTGGTTGTAAAAATTCTGATTAGGAAAAAGAAGTTTGCCATTAGATTAAATATGAAACTAAGTATTTAAATTATACCTCTGTAGTAAGTTATTTTCTATGAATCATTCTGTTTAAATGAATCTCGATTTAATTCCTCAAGGCAAGACTAACGTGTCGCACTTTAATTAAGCTGTAATTATTCACAGAAAAGAGAATATCCAGAAGCGGATCTTAGAAGAGATTTCTAATTACAGTTGTTTTAAACGATCTTATTTTGTTGAATATTATCGTCAACAGGATCAAGTGTTTGGCATAAACCTTTGGAAAGTTGGTGTCGCTCATAGTTCACTTTTAGGGGGAGAATTAGTTCTTCTTGATGAGTGTGATGTGACATCACTCATCTTGAAACAGCAGCTACTGCTTGGAAAACGTTTTAGAATATTACTTCTGTGGAACACTTTTACCGACACCGGTAATATTGTAGTGAACAAGAATTCCAGTGGGGACAATCGGATGTATTTAAGAACAAATTACAGAACTAGTTAGTAAAATCTAACAACCATATATTAAATACTCAATCTGCAAAATGTCCATCAATTGTCTCAAATGACTCAGAATTCCTTTGTTCTTGCATTTTCATACAAATTGCATTCTGTGTTCATTGTTTACTGTTCGATCTTCTTGTCTCACTGCTGCCAGACATTCTGTTCACGACTCACGTCATATACTACTTATGTCTACATAAGTAGCACACATCACAATATGTCTTTGGCAATAATACAGTATTAATTAGTTTAAGGCTCTATAAAATGGAGGCTAAGCTAAAATTAATTCATCATAACTCGTTATATGAAGATCATGAAAATATTAAGAGAAATGACTCAGAATAAGCGTCAGTGACAGTTTTCATTATAGGCTTTTCATTTCTCAATACATTTCAATTCGTCTGACACACATCTTCATCTTTTTGTTTCATGAATATTTATGTGGTAAATAATACACAAATTCTACAAGTTGTTTCTTATACAATTATAGTTGGCTTTGTTAAAATGTTTTCGTGTACATTTGTTATGGTGTATTTTGTTACTTTTTCAATGTACTGAATATAAAAATGCTTATGATATTTCGAGTTATACTATCAGGAGATTCATTTTCTTCTATGCGAGTATGGATTCCAGATTCGTTTATGTCGTTTGATGATTTTATTTTTCATTCGATAGGTTAGATTTACACCAATCTCTTAGATAAAATTAAGTTAAGTTGCCTGAATGAACAATATCAGAATATGAACGACTATTCAGCTATTTTGTTGTTATCGTCAACTCAAGCTTAACTGCTGTCACTGTAAGTTTTCAAGAGTCGATGATATAAGTTTGAATTTAAGAGTTGCCTCGCAGCTGAATGCTTTACGTTGTGTGATGACAAAGACTTGTACTTGCTATTCATGTTTCGAATTATAGAATCTTAATCAGCTATTGCAAACTCATTTAATAATTTGTGTTCAAGGGTACCTCGTACATACGTGAGAAAAATAATAGCCTTTTATGTAAAATAGCTCGGAAAAGTGCGCTGACCATCTGAGTGTGTAAGGAAAATAACGAAAATATTTACTAACTTCAAGACCACACCCTCATATTCAAAGAAGCTAGAAATAGTTACATTTCAGCAACTTTTGAATCCAGAAAGCGAATTATTCCATTCAACAGTCAAGACTACATGCGTTTCATAGTCTAAAATTTAATAATGGTATTAATCATTTCTACGTAAAACTCGGAATAATAAGAGATAAACACTATCCTGCGTTTTTGGTAAAGTACTCTCCGTTTCAGAACTGATACTTAAAGAACTACAACCATTGTCAAAAATGGTAAATGTAATTCTAAACAATTGTCTACGCATGATACTCAATGTTTGTTATCCGGTAATCATCCTAAACAGCCTACTGTGATAGAGCATATCAGCTTGGAGCTGAAAAAGAAATTACGAAAAGACGCTGGTAGAATAAATGACATACATTACGGTACTCATCAAACTGCACCACGAGGCAAACACTTTCTAGGAATCCTGAAGGGAAACGGAAAAGTGGAAGACCGAAGAATACATTCCAGTGAGAATTGGAAGCAGGAATGAAGAGAATGAATAGCAACTAAAAAGGATTTCCCAGGACAAAGTTTGATTGAGAATGCTTTTGTAGGCCTATGCCCCTCCACGAGTGGTAACAAGTAGTGATCTCTATTTTCTCGAAAACTTTATACATGAATACCATATCAAAGTTTTTCTGTAAATCTGTGAGATGTGTGTGATTTCCACATCAATTATTATAACTAAATGTGTGATTATGATACACTAAAAATTAAGCTAATGAGAACTTGAATATTAGAGTTACACATTTTTGTGTGATTTCTGACAGTATTTTTAGCTGAAAAATTATCGTAATATGATACCACACTGTGCAGAAATACGTCTATATGATAATTAGAAGTAATTGAATTATAGTATGAACTAAGAATCCCAGGGATAACGCAATTGAATCAAGAAGTACTACATAAGCACTAACAAATGTACTGTATTTAGAATTCGAAATCAAACATTCAACAAGTACAAAGGAGTCATTAGTTCATTCAAACACCACATCCGCCACAGCTTAAATTAGAGTCTAAGTGTCTGTAATCAATTGAACGTCTTCTTTTCAAGTTCATACTGTGTCTGTCCGACAATGTATTGGATAAAGACTCTGTATTATCTAGAATGCACTCATTAGTATTAGAATTAACAACTGAAATCGGAACAGACTCACTTGCTTCCTGGGGTTGTGCACGATCATCATGTCGGTTGAGTACTGAAAGTACTGCTACCTAGAATTTGAACCATAGACATTCAGACTATCCTCCCCCACGAAATAATGTCGGATCTTCATATCCCCAAGTTATGAATAATGTGGCTTCATTTAAAACATCTTTCTCAATTTGACTAGATTAAACATTGGAAGTGAATTTATGATAAGGGCAAACAATAATTGACATGGAATCATCTGAATTGTAATCAGACTCTAACTCATTTATTACTCGTGCTTCGCATTGAACAAGTTTCTCACAAGAAACAAATGCATCATGAGGACAAATAATATTTGATATGACATCAAGATTCGATTCTTCTGAAATAGTTTCCTCGAATTTATTAAGAATATCATTGCAGAGTAAAGGATCGTTAAAAAAATCAGCATCAATCAAAACCGCATCAGTTTTTTGATCATCATTAGGTTCATTCGAAATATTTTCACCAGATTTGTAAGAAATTTCACCAGAAATATGTGAATCATTAGGAAAAACCATATCTGGTACAATAACATGAGAAATCTGATAGGTTGATTCATTAGAAATTGTTGTCTCGCAAGAATCTTGAGTTTCATTTAACTCTGAACTGCTATATGACTCTAAACTGTCTTTTGAAATCGTCGATAAAGATAAATGATCATTATAAATATTCAGATTAATAGAATCAGAATCGAAAGACTTAATATTAGTTGCAGCAAGATGAACAGTAGTATTACAAACTGACTGAATATGTCCGACATCACCACATTTAAAGCACTTACAATTACGAAATTTACATGAATTAAAAGGGTGGAACTTGCCACAAGAAAAAGATTGACTAAACTTGTGCCCATCTTCGTGAACTGCACAACCTTGAGAATGCACTGGGATGGGGTGATGTAATGTAGTGGAATTTTTTATATCCTCATAAATTATTTTACGAAATCTCCCTTTACCGCATTCGAAATTTGTATACTTAGCATAGTCTAGAAGTAGTTCCTTGAGAGTTGTATAAGGAAGAGAAATGGGCTTTTCCGGTGAAGCCAAAATTTTTAATAAGCCATATGCTTCTTTTCCAATGA